GGATGGATGGATGGATGGATGGATGGATGGATGGATGGATGGATGGATGGATGGATGGATGGATGGATGGATGGATTGATGGGCCAATTTCAGTCAAGACAAATTTTCCTTGGAACATGGGGGAAAGAAGTTCTCATGCTACGTTTGTTTTTCATTCATTTTTGTGAAGGTTAGTTTGCAAATAAAACAAATAAAACAAAACTTTAACGGAGTAAAGTGCACGAAGAAGTGAATGGAAGTTTTTAGTTTGTTTTTTCAAATAAAATACCCGGCACATCAATGTACCATTTACAAAAAGATTTGAAGCTCTCGACCTTTGACCTCTCTAAGTGGCTTTAAGAATCTGTTGGACTCCTGGCAGGGACCGATGCAGACATGTTCCTGTTTTTAGTTTTCTACATTCACCTTAGAATCTAGCTGTTTTTTGTTACTTTTTTTGCCATCTTATTTGTAAAAAAACAAAACAAAAAAAACAAATGTATGCCTTTTTGTGGCTGTCCATTGTTTTCATCTTTGTTGAAATCAGGTCTCTCTTGTAAATGAGTCCTTGAGGCTCAATGGGATTTACCTGTCTAAATAAAGGTTGAATGAATGAATGAATGAATGAAATGTATTAATTCTGGTTGTGTTTACTGACCTTGAACCGATTTTATGTGGTACATGGCGCTCAAAAATCTGCCAAAATGAACTTATTTAGCTTAGTACGCCTTACAATCCGATGCGCCTTATGGTTAAAAAAATACGGTATATTAAATTTTTTTTTTTTTTTACTGAATCATTGGTTGAGGCCTCAATTCAATTTCAATTCAGTTTATTTATATAGCGCCAAGTCACAACAGAAACATTCAAATATACATTAAAAAAGCCAATTAGTAAAAGTTATCAAAGAAGCAGCAGATTGTGCTGAATATTCACTTCGTCGTAGTCTCTCATCCTGAGCAAGCACAAAGGAGACAGTGGAAAGGAAAAACTCCCTTTTAACAGGAAGAAACCTCCAGCAGAACCAGGCTCAGGACGAGCGGCCATCTGATTCAACCAGATGAGGTTTAAGAGGACAGGAAGGAGAAACAAACAAACTCAGAATGACAGGCGCATGTGAACTTTCTATAGGAGGAAAGACAAAAAAAAACATGATGAGATAGAAATAATTACAAAAATAAACAGGTAGAGCAAGTAAAAACAGCAGCAGAGCGAGGAAATGTGGTCGGTTTGTCCTCCAGCAGTCTAAGCCTATAGCAGCAGAACTGAGGGAAAGCTCAGGAAACCCAGTCCAACTCCAACTATAGGATTTATCAAAAAAGAACAATTTAAGCCTAATCTTAAAAGTAGACAAAGTGTCAGCCTCACGGACAGAAAAAAATCAGCTCAACAGGTGAGTCCATCACTGGGAAACATGGAGACAAACAAGACAAATCGTCATCACGTACATACATCTAGAGCTAATTTGAATCCACCAGTGAAGCTAACGTGCATGTTTTTGGACACTGGGAGGACACCAGCGTACTCGGTGACAACACCCCTGCACAGGCAGAAGAGTCAAACTCTGCAGTGAAAAGCTGCAGCTGAGTTTCAACCCCAGGTCCTGCTTGCTCTGAGGCAGCCGTGCAAACTGACTCCGACGTGCAGCTCTGCGTTTGCACATTTGAAATGAAGACGAGGTTATACGTTTCACTTGCTAACAAATCTTTGTATGAAAAGGAATTCTTTGAACGAATGATGTTTACGTTGTTTTAATTTTTGCCTTCTCTCTTGCTTGCGCTGCTACTTCAAGTTTCACGTGCAACAACATTTAACCCTTCGCTGCTGAACGCCCAATCATGGCAGATGTACAATTTTAGATCATTTTTAACAATCATTTCTTTCTCTACCAACTTAATCAATAAGCAACTTTGTGTTTTGATCAAATGCCAGCTGGGACTGGAAGCAGGACGTTCTATCCACCAGTGAGCCGTGCAGGTGCACGTGGGCCCGTTCTCAGACCAGGCTTTAACAAAGACAGTTGTCTTTCTTAAGCCTGAGCAAACACCGGTGAGCGGCTGGTCGCTCAGACTTGCCTGACAGCTTCTCTTTGGGGATCACGCTGCTAATCTGGGGTGGACTTTGGTTCCCGTTAAAGAGTTTTCACAGTTGGATGGTCCACGCCGTCCCAGCTGCTTTCACTGTGAACGCACACGCCGTTGTGGCATCATTAGTCTCTGGAACCACGTTGTGTTTGTCTTTGTGCGAGCGAACGCTCGCTCACTCGACGCAGGTGCATCTGTTGTTTGTTTAGGTTGAATTCTCCATAGAGAAAGGAGGAGGACAAACAGTGATGGTTGTCTCATTAGCTTTTTCTGTCCCTGCTCTGCTTTCTCTCTTTTAGACACACACACACACACACGTAGTGAGAAAACTCAGGTGAGTTCGGTCTTTATGTTTGACCTGTCAGCTCAGTGCTCAGGAGGTCCAACTAATGATCTCATTGCTGCGACTCACTGGGGTTTATTTTCTGTATAATGCTGTTTAAAGAGGAACCACTTACATTTAAACTCACTGTGTAGTACTGATCACCGCACTGTCTCCCAGCTGTTTACAGCTTTACTGTGCTTCCTTTAACCTGAGTTCACTTGAACTTTGTGAGCTCCTTCACAAGGATGGAATAAAGATGAAGATGTTGCAGAAAGAATTCCAACTAAGTAGACCTACAATCAAAGTTCTTTTTATCTCCCAATGAACCAAAATCACCTGTTTTACTTTATCTTCCATAGCTACATAAGTAATGTAGGTCAGATCGTTCCTGACGCATCTCTATGCTGATGACACAGTTGTTTATTGTCGAGCTAAAACAGTTGCTAATGTTGTCCAGCATTTACATTCTGCACTTGACATCATTCAGTCAGACTTGTTCCGTCTCAAACTGGTGCTAAATGCTGACAAAACCAAAGGGATGTGGTTTTCAAACAGGAAGTTGGTACCAGCAGTCCTTCCTCCTATCTTATCGTCGACTGGCGTTCCTATTGAGTTTATTGATTCTTACAAATACTTGTGAATTTTGGTCGATGCGCAACTATATTTTAAGCCTCATGTTGAAAATTTGATAAAGAAGCTGAAATTATTAAAACTGGGTTTCTTTTTCAGAAATAGATCCTGCTTAACTCTGAATGCCAGAAAACACCTTGTGACTGTGACTTTCCTTCCCTTCATTGACTACAGTGACATTATTTACATGAACGCCCCAACGAGCACCTTGCAGATGTTGGATGCAGACGTTGGATGTAGATGTTGGACACTGTCTATCATGGTGCACTAAGATTCATAACTGCCTGTAACTACCGTACCCATCACTGCTCCCTGTATTCACTGGTTAACTGCTCGTCATTAACTTCACACAGACTCTCTCACTGGTACATCCTTGGTCTGTTGCCTTCTTACATCTCCTCCTACATGTCACATCGTCAGTGCAGTTACAGCGTGCGCTCTCAAGACATCATTACCTGCAGCGTCGCCTCATTGTGGACTGAATTAGGCACAAAAGCCTTTTCCTACTCTGCTCCTGTAACATGAACACCTTGTAAAAAGATCTGAAGTTGTCAACCTTGACCTCTCTAAGGGATTTTAAACATCGGTTAAGTTTCTGGGAAAAACTAATGCAGACATGTTCCTGTTTTTAGTTTTTTACACCGCCTTATAATCTAGCTGTTTATTGGTGCTATTCCTTTTGGTTGTGCTATTTTGTTTTGATTGTTTTGATTTGTAAAAAAAAAAAAAAAGAGAGAGAAACTTAAATTTGTATACCTATGCCTATTTAGGATTGTCTATTGTTGTCATTGTTATTCACTGTTGTCATCACTCTTTGTTAAGAAATCAGGTCTCTCCTCTAAATGAGTCCCTGAGGCTCAATGGGATTATCCTGTCTAAATAACGGTTGAATGAACAAATCATATGACGAGAGGGGACAAAGTTGTAGCCATTTTTGTCAAACCTTGTAAATTACGAGTGCAGTTTCATGTGATGTGAGATTCTTTAGCACTCAAAGTATGTGGTGAGGTTGACTCTCAACTACCGCATTAAAATTTAGCTCATTGTCAGTCAATCTGATTGAGTTATAACCATTTTTGTGGTTGCTTAGCTATGGTGCCCGTCTCCAATAGAGTTGCCTTCAAAAGTTGTAGATTTATATCTAATGTTTACTTTCAGAGAAATTCAATCAGTAACTGCTAGTGCATGACTGATATGTGACTCCTGTACTGTAAACTACAGCACAAACAGCGATGAAGCAACAAACTGTCACATATAAATTAATAATTTGATGAAGGTACTAAAAACTCAAACTAATTTACAGCTATATTAAATCCTCTGTACCCACATTCTTGCTGAATCACTCGCTCAGACATCGATCCTTCATGATCACGGTACATTTTGTTTCGGGCCTGCATGTTGCCATTTGTTGGCTGAAAAGCAGGAGCATTAAAACTTCTCTTAATTTGATCCTAGAACATTGTTTTGATTAAGAGCATGAGTTAAAATCGTGTGCATGTGCAAACAACAGATTTACCTTGTCCAGTTGGTTGATGCCCTCCTCCACGCAGCAGATGGAGGCCACGGTTCTCAGAGCGTGAGCATACAGGTCTCTGAAGCGGTCCTGTCGGCAGATCTTGAACAGAGCCACCACAGCTCCTTCCTGTAGGAATGGATAAATCATTTTATACATGAGCCACAAAAACCTCACGAACCTGCAATAAAAATCATGTCAAGTTCAGCTTTTCACAGGGACCATACAGTGTGTGTAGCCTTTGTGAGGATTTCAGCTTGTGATGATCAACTGCAAGAAACTTTTTTTTTTTACTGAAGTACAAACATTAATAAAATGAAGCCACCAATTTACACTCCATGTTGACAGAATGCTTAAGTATTGTACAAATAGTTTAGAGTATGAAAAAGCATTGATGTGCCTTTAATAACATCTAGCTATAGCTATAATTAAATATATATATTAAAGCAATATATTTTTTTTAATGGTTCACTTTGGATTGGGTCATTATGACTTTTGGCAGCAGAACATTTTATGGAGAATAATTTATTCTAGCTAGCTGGATGGATGGATGGATGGATGGATGGATGGATGGATGGATGGATGGATGGATGGATTGATGGATGGATTGATG